AATCCCTTATTCATCGACCCCCCTAAAAAACCGGACCCCCCTCCAAATGCGATCTAATATTCCGGACCCCTCTCTTCGACAGGGCGCCTTAATAAGCCCGACCCCCTAAGCTCCAATCCAAAGAAAGCGCCCTAATAAACCGGACCCCCCCCCAATTACAAAAAAGGCGCCTCAAAAAACCGGGACGATGAATACGGGATTTGGAATACGTCTGGCCAGGTGTGCCAGGCGACCCAGCGCGGCTCCGCACCGTCAGCCTCGCTGACGCCCCGGCGGCACGCTGCTCGACCGGGTGGGCGCGGCGTGCTCTGCCGCAGAAGGCTGTTGCCAGCGACGGCGGGGGGAGGCGCGGGCACCAGCTGCTCGGAGGCACAGCTCTCGACGCATCGAGGCAAGATTCCCAGACCCCTCCTCCTCCTCCTCCCCCTCCTCCCCCTCCTCCTCCTCCTCCTCCTCCTCCTCCTTCTCCTCCTCCTCCTGCCCCCTCCTCCCCGCACCGTCCGCTCCTGCCCGCGCCCCCGCCCCGGAGAGGAGGGCGGGGCCCACCGCGCCTGGCCGGGCCCATCCCTGGGCCGTGCGTCAGCGTGCGAGGGAATCGGTCGGCGGCGGCGGCCAACCGCTGCATCAGAGCAGCTCCGCGCTGCACTGCACGTTGCGAACGATCGACGATTGAAGGGGAGGGCGCTTTCGACCTTCAGGGCTCGACACCCTCCTCATCCTCCTCATCATCATAAACCTCCCCCTACATCATCAACGGCATCAGCAGCATCATCATCATCATCATCATCATCATCATCATCATCATCATCATCATCATCATCATCATCATCATCATCATCATCAGCAACAGCATCAGCAGCAGCAGCAGCAATGATAGTGAGAATCACCATCCATTCCCCATTCCAGCTCGTGTCTGATGACCTCTCATGTCTCCCTCACACACATCATTCACCTACTTTGCACCTCCATCTCCTCTTCCCTCCTCCTCCCCTCCTGCATCCTGCTCATCCTGCCTCATGCCTGCGTCCATGTCGGTTGAAAACAACTGCTGCTTGCAGCAATCCCTGACGTCTCGGTAGGGCGGGCTGGGCATTCCGCCTGACATCTTCTCACTATGTAGGACCTTGAAGCTTCAAAACTGCAACAGCTTCAAAGACAAAATACGAGTCCTTTTCAAAATAGGGCTCTCGCCTGCGCATATTGGTCTTAAAACCCTGCAAGACCTTAAACGATGGAGACCGGGTCGTGTTCAAAATGGAGCCCTCGCCTTAGCGCCGCGCACGCCATAGCACCGCGCACACTCGTCTTACAAAGCTGCAACCGTTTCAAGGACGGAGAGCGGTTCTTTTTCGAAATGGCGCTCTCGCCGCAGCGCCGCGCACAGTCGCCTTGCAGGGATGTGCGGGCGGTCCTCTTTCTAAGTGGGACTCTCGCTTGAGGCTCTGTGGACTTCCAGACCAGGAACTTGAAAAGATGCGACAGCTGCCCGGATGGGAGGCGGTTCCTTATCATACTTGGCTGTTCGCTTGAGACTCATCTGAATAAGACTAGCATTAGGTCGGGCGCGTCCCCCTACAGGGGGATTTTGGACGGAAAAACGAAAAATACATAAAAATACCCCCCAAAATGATCAAAAATAGTGGAAAAATCGTCCCCAGACTATTTGGGGACTATGTTTGAAGATCCCCCCCTGTGGAGGGACAGGCCCGACTGAAGACCAGCAACTTGAGCTCAATGATGGTACACCTGCACGGATGGAGGGCGGCCCCTGTTATAAAAGAAAGCTATATCGTTGGAGACGTCCTCGACGCCCGTGGCAACAAGTGGAAAGTCGTGCAAGCGTTGGCACACATACTCCAAATCCCTTCTTAATCGACCCCCCCTAAAGAACCGGACCCCCCTCCAAATGCGACCCAATATTCTGGACCCCCCTCTTCGACGGGGCGCCTTACTAAACTGGACCCCCTAAGCTCCAATCCAAAGAAAGCGCCCTAATAAATCGGACACCCCCAGTTACCAAAAAGGCGCCTTAAAAAACCGGACCCGGGGGACGATTAATAAGGGATTTGGAGTATGGTGGGCGGTCCTTTCTCAAAGCGAGGGCATCGCAGGACACCTCGTTTCCTTAAACCGTGCACGACCACGCGTTTGCGCAGTCCTGACGGTTCGCTCAAGGATGCAGGCCAGAGCCTTTCGAAACGGGTCTCTCGCCCGAACGGCAGGCCCTCGTCCCCGTCCCTCTTCGTCCCTCCCTTCCTCGTTTCTCCCCTCACACTGCGATGCGTGTTCCAATTCAAAGCGAGGTCCTGTTCATCCAGTAACTACTCGTCTTCATCATCCTCCTACTCACCATCCTCCCCGTCCGCATCACCATCAGAATCATCAGAGTCATCATAGTCACCATAGTCATCAGCATCACCACCGGTATCGACATCATAATTGACATCATCATCATCAACAACTACATGGTCATCCGCATCATCCTCATCATCAGCATCAGCATCAGCATCATCAGCATCAGCATCATGATCATCGTCAGCATCATCAGCGAAAGCATCGTCAGCATCATCAACATCCTCGTATATAATCAGCAGCATGATCATCAACATAATCGCCATCATCATCGCCATCATCGTCGTCATCAGACAAATTCGCATCCTCAGAATCATCAGCATAATGATAATCGTCAACATAGCCAACATCGGTGTCAGTACCACAAGCAGCAGCAGCAGCATCATCATCATCATCAGCAGAATCATCAACAACATCATCAGCATCCGCAGCATCATCCTCGTCGTCATCAGACGTATAAGCAGCAGTAGCCGCATCATCACCAGCACACTCATCTGCATCAACATCACCATCACCGTCACAATCAGCAGTATCATCATCGTCATCATCATCACCACCACCACCATCATCATCAGCATCAGCAGCAGCACCATCATCAACACCAACATCACCATCATCATCATCATCATCATCATCATCATCATCATCATCATCATCATCATGACCATCGCCATCATCATCAGCAGCAACAGAATCATCAGCAGCAGCATCCTGCCGCTCCACCCTCCGCCCCGGGGCGGCCCCTGGGGGGCAAGGAGTGGCCTGTGCGGTGCGCGGCCTCACGAGGCCGCAGAAGGGGGCGGGGGGGAGGAGGCGGAGGAGGAGGAGGAGGAGGAGGAGGACCAGTGCAAACCCCAGCCATCAACGATGTTGGAATAAGCCCTCCCTCCAAGCTCCCTCTTCAGAGGCCCCTACAACGGTTCATTTCCATTGAGGGAACTGCCTCGGTGGAAGACAGCCGTTTGAAGACCCTGAAGCATGCCATAGCATTGTTCTCGGGATCTCAACGCCACGGATCAGCCTGACTGCTGCGTCTTGACGATCTTGAACCGTGCCAGAACGCCATTTGAACACCGCGAACCAACATAACTGTTGCGCCCGCATAATCCTGAATCCTTCCCAAACATAATTTCTAATTCGCTCGCCATGGGAACCCGTGAAATGTTCGCGGCGCTAAGGCGAGAGCCACATTTTGAAAAGGAACCGCCCTCAATCCGAGAACCTCTTGCAATTTCCATAAACGAATGTGCGCGGCGCCAAGACGAGAACCACATTTTGGAAAGGAGCCGCCCTGATTCCGCGAAGCTCTTGCAAATTTTCACAAACGAATGTACGCGGCGCTTAGGCGAGAGCCACACTTTGAAAACGATCCGCCCTCAATCCGTGAAACGCTTGAAAATATCTAACACGAAGGTGCGCGACACGAAGGCGAGAGCCACATTTTGAAAACCACCCGCCTTCAATCCGCGAAACGCTTGCAGTTTTCATAAACGAATGTGCGCGGCGCCAAGGCAGCCACATGTTGAAAACCACCCGCCCTCCATATGCGAAACTGTTGTGAGGAAGTCTCAGGGCGAGGAATAAATGGTGAGGAAGTCTCAGGGCGAAACGCCCGGCCCGCATTAAAAAATGGCCTCGGGATGCGACAGGGAGAGGAGGATGAGGAGGAGGAGGAGGAGGAGCAGGAGGAGGAGGGGGAGGAGGAGGGAGGAGGAGGAGGAGGAGGAAGAGGAGGAGGAGGAGGAGGGGGAGGGGGAGGTCCGAGGCAGGGCTCGCGCCAAGGGAGAACCACGCTGGCGAAGGAACCGCTCTCTGAGAGGCCTCCTCGGTGGGATCCAAGCAGCTGGGGCTTGAGGCTTGCACCGCATCGCCGATGCATCGCCGATGCATCGGCGACACATCGGCGATGCGTCGGCGACGTCGGCGTGGAGAAAACCGGGCTCCACGTCGAGCCACATCGCCGACGCATCGGCGATGCGGCGGGACCCTCGGACCCCAGCTGCTCGGACCCCATCTGGGAGCCTTGGATTGGCGGCGCGCACAAGGGGGTAGGGGGAGGGGCGAAGGATTATTAGAAGCACGGGTGTTTCAAAGAAACCTTACCCCCTCCCCCATACCCCCCTTCTGCGCGTGGCCGACACTTCTCCGGGGCCAATTGTTCGCCCACTATCCGCTCTAGATGGCCCCAGGGCCCGAAAACGGGCCCCGCTGGGGGCCGAAATCGAGGAGGAGCGCCTGGACTGAAAAAATCGCAGTGCCGAGGAGGGGGAGGAACCAAGAGATACCAACACCGGTATTGAGCAGGGACCGACCGTCCCGGCTTTCCTACAGGCCGACCACGATATTTTCTCTGAACCAGAAGATGCTCTAAGGAAAGACACACAATCCTTAGAACAGAAGCCCGATGTAGTAAAGCAGGGCAGTCCCGGCCAGAAATCGATAATATTACGAATAATAAACATAATAATAATAATAATAATAGTAATAATAATACTAATACGAAAAATAATAATAATAGTAGTAGTAATAATGATAATATGAAGAAGAAGAATACGACTACGAATAATAATAATACTAATGATATTAATTAATAACAAATATTGATAATAATAATAATAGTAATAATATTAATGAAATGATGATGATACTAACGATAATAATAGTAATAATAGTAATAATAATAAATAATAATAATAATAAATGAAAAGAGTAATGATACGGAGAAGAAGCATGAATATATATATATATATATATATATATATATATGTACAGCTGTATACACATATATATATATATACACATATACATGTATATATATATATATATATATAATGCTGACCCCTGACCCAGGCGAGCCGTGCAGCGGCCAGCCAACCCGGCGCCCTGCCGCGATACGCGGCCCGCCCCCTGGGGCCGGCCCCCCCCCCGTCACCGGCGCGCGACCCCGCCTGGGTCGCGGGCTCCGCGGCGAAGCGCGCGTAGAACCTCGCGAGGCCCGGGTAGCCTCTGCGGGTGCGGCCGCGGCGCTCGGCCGCCGAGGAGGCGCCACGGCCGCCGCCGACGGACGCCGCCGCCGCCGGCGCCCGACGACCTGGCGAGGGGCATGGCGGCCCTCCTCCTCCCTCCTCCCTGCTCCTCCCTCCTCCATCTTTTCCTCCTTCTCCTCCTCCTCCTCTCCTCTCCTCTCCTCCTCCTCCTCCTCCTCCTTCTCCTCCTCCTCCCCCTCTCCGCCTCCTCCCCTCCTCCTCCCTCCTCCTCCTCCTCCTCCCCTCCTCCGCCTCCTCCTCCTCCTCCTCCTCTCCTCCTCCTCCTCCTTCCTCCTCCTCCTCCTCATGCTCTCGCCCTCCTCCTCCTCCTCCTCCGCCTCCTCCTCCTCCGCCTCCTCCTCCCGTGGGGCCGAACTCGGGCACTCCTCCGCCTCCTCTGCCTCCTCCTCCTCCTCCGCCTCCTCCTCCCGTGGGGCCGCACTCGGGCACGTGCGAGGGGGGAGCGCCCCCGTGCTCCGCGGGGGGCGCGCCCGAGTTATCCCCCCCCCCAGGATATGCATCCCCGAGCTCCCCTCCGGCTCTGATGGGACGCAGAAGGACATACTAGTACTACAGTCAACCAGTATCGCAAGAATTAGGGGAACAAAAAGTGGCATAAACATAAGAACTCAGAGGTCCGCGCAGATTTCTCGGATCGGCGCTGGGGCCCCCCCGGCGGCGCCTCCGGCGCCGCCCCTGGCGCGCTCCGCGCGCCAGGGAGGGGGGTCCAGCGCCGATCCGAGAAATCCGCGCGGACCTCCGAGATTTTATGCTTATGTCACATTTTGTTCCCCGATACAGTCAACCAGTATCGCAAGGATACGCGATGAGGATGCAAGAGCCTTGGACGCCTATTTCGAAGCGTTTCGAGCGGGGCGCGGCCAGCGGAAGCGGCGAAGGATGGACCGAGGAGGCAAGGCTGCAAGGGTACCCTTGGGAGGGTTGCCCGTCTTTACTATGCGGGTTGACTGTATGCGTCCTCCTTGGAGGCGTGCGTCCGACCCGAACAAATAGCACAAGCAGATTGTAGTTGATATATCGTTGCCCGAGCAGCACGGCCAGGAAGCGCCCGCCACGGAGGTTGTGCTGTAAGATCTCCCGGCGCGGGCGTCGCCCCTGGGGTGCGGACGCACACATAGTATCAGCATGTGCGGGCGATGCCGATCTGAGGGGCCAGGTGCTCCTGGGGAAACTCGAGGATCGGGGACGAGAAATCGCCCGCGAACGTCGACGCCAAAGGCTACCGCCAACGCCGACGATCCCGACGCCGACGGCGGCGACGGCGGCGACGAACGACGCCGACGCCGACGCCGACGCCGACGCCGACGCCGACGCCGACGCCGACGCCGACGCCGCCGCCGCCGACGGCGGCGACGAACGGCGGCGGCGGCGACGATGGCGACGCGCCGGCAGCCCTCGGCCCGGACGCTCCTCCGGAGGCCCGGGCGTCGGGAGGGCGGGGGGGCGGCGCAGGACCCTCCCGAGGAGGATCCGCGGAGTTGCCGCGCCACCGCAGGCTGGCGGCGCGCACGAGGGGGCAGGGGCAGCGGGGCCCAAGCCGAGAGCAGGCGCGCCGGGCATCTTCGTCCGATTATTAGTATTACGGGTGTGATTATTCTAGTTATTACTACTATCATTATTAGTCGTAGTATTATTTTCTGGCTGATTCCTATGATTCTTCTTGTTTACATTGTGCGAACGTCCGATGCCAACGCTGCAAAGATCGCCGAACTGATTTTGACCAGAATCGGTGCCCAACGGTACTTAACACGCAGCACGCGTGCTTTGCCGCATCGTTCCAACACACACGGGCAGACTCTAGCATGCAGTCGCGAAGGCTGCCGACAGTCTTGGCGGCGCGCACAAGGGAACAGGAGGGGGGAAGGCTTCTTGGAAGGAGGCTGCTCCTCAGAAGGAGCGGGCCTTCCATCTATTTACAGACGAGGCGCGGCTGAGAAGCAGGGGTGCTTCTTAGAAGCCTTCCTCCCTCCCCCTACAGTCAACCAGTATCGCAAGGATGCGCGATGAGGATGCAAGGGCCTTGGACGCCCATTTCGAGGCTTTTCGAGCGGGGCGCGGCCAACGAAAGTGGCCAAGGACCAGCCGAGAGGAGGCAAGGATG